AGAGAGAGAGAGAGGAACTATTCAAGAACCATCCATTGTTAACTTTTGCAGACATACATGCGAGAACGCTCATTGGAAGTCATGGCAGGTAAAATGAACTTCATGTTATTTTTCTCAAAAAGCAATGGCAGCTTCACTCTCTTAACAAACCTAAGAAAATAAGAAGAAAAAAACTCGGGCTGAAATTTTCTTTTTTGCGGCCCCCAAAAGAGCATTAGAAGATTCGGGACTTCAATGAGTTTTTTCATCATATCCAAAAACTTTAAGATTCAACCATTTTCCATACGGATAAGAATTTTTTTGAGAGTGAAGAAGAATTCCCATGCACATTTGCGGAAACCATGTCTCACTAATTAATATTCACAGAAAGCATATGGTAAATTGATCAAGCCATGACAAATCAAGTAATCATTAAGAAATCACTAAATTCCAACAAGAATTGAAGAAGAAATTCAATATAAAGGGCCAACCATCAATTAGAAACACAACATACCTAAGGAGGCCGATCGCAAGACAGATGAGCCAATAATACCAAGAAAGTCTGACAGTAGAAGTGAACTTTCCAAGGACCTCAATGATCAAAATCTGGAGCAGAATATTTGAGCGTGATTGCTCGTGTTGAACCACAAACAGAACAAATAGAAAGTAGACCATATGCCATGGAAGAACATTATACATACTTCACAGGAACTATCCACCATTCATTCATGTGAAGGACAGTGGCGAATAACAGTAACTGGGTGAATGTCACCATGGCCCTCGCCACTGGTAATCTCCACTGCATGTCATTGGAAATGGATGCTGGACATCCCTTTGGAGTCGGACATATAATGGATATAGATTTCTAGCGCAAAAACCCAAAAACATTATGGAAAAACTAAAACAAAGAGAAGTGATCTTACCTGAAGAACCACTGTGAAACTCACAATCCCCATAAATAATTTATTTTTTAACACCCCCTCAAAGATGTTCAGCTCATCCGGCTTCCTAGCATTAAATTCATTGAACACCTGCAAATCAGAAGGTTAAACGCATTATCCCCTAGGAAAATTAACAAAAAAGGAAAAGAAAAATTAAAACTTAATACGCATAAAATGGGGGGTTAACCTGAAACAAAGTAACAAACTGAACCATCATACAATGATCATCATTTATGCAGGCGTCCAATTACTAAACTATGTACAAAGGAAAACCAAATATAAAGCAAATATTGCAAAAGAAAGGACACCGGTAATAGGATAATCACGACTTGCACAAGAAACTACATGGAGAAAAAACTCTTTCTACAAAACCTTTACAAATAGAAAATAATTCTCTCATTACCAGCAAGACCCTATAACTTACTTGGCAAAAGACAAATGCGTTGAAAATAACGGTGTTTTTCACTTTATCAGCTTCTGCCCTGGGTCTGCTCTTCAGCCGTAAGATACTTGTACCATCAAAGTGGAGGATTAGCAGAACAGCCACTTGATACAAAGCCTAAACACCATAAACAAAAAATAAAAAGTCCAAATTGTTGTGCTGAAATATTACACAACGAAACTCAGCCCAAATAGAAGTTGAGAAAAATAAGAAAACACGGAAATTGAAACTGCACCTGGCCAGTTAAGTTTCTCCACATGACATTTGTAATTAGAGGTTCCCTGAGAAGACAGGATAAGAATGACAACTATTCATGTTAAGACAAAAACATCTCACACAAAAAAATGGTCAAGAGTAGGAACTACAAAAAACTTCTCACCACCATTTAAAGTAGCTGAGATCCTGGAAGCAGTAAGACGGTGTATAATTGAATATTGAATATTGACTATTGAGTCATGTTGGGCTCTCACCATTTAAAAAAGAATCAAGGAAATGGGCAAACAGTTACTTCATATCACTCCCTTAAAATGTACATGATAATGGCTAGAGAGAGGGTGATTAATATGGTCCACTGAGAGTGCTAGCTCTCTAACTAGAATGTCATAGTAGTATAGAGGAGTTGACCATTGATTGGGACCTTCATTCCACTTGCTTAACCCTTGTTGCTTCAGAGAAGGTAATGTCTCTCTTAATAGTACATAAAGTTATTTAAAACGGATCTACCAAAAATAACCTTCTACATCCACTACTCCGAAATTAAAGCTTCTCTCACCTTCGACCAACTGGAGCTCTAACCATAAGGTGATCTGTTGGTGGTTCAGTGGCCAATGCAAGGGCTCCAAGAGTATCCATGATAAGATTAACCCAAAGAAGCTATGATAGAAACCAAAATAAAAAATCAAGCAACAGATAAATACATTAATAAATGATATAACAAAACTAAGCAAAATAAAACAGTTGAGTTAGCCAAAATACTAACCTGCACCACATTAAGAGGGACATTTCCTGATGAAACAGCAGCAACAAAGTTTATAACAAGGGCTGCAACATTGACGGTGAGCTGGAACTGAATAAACTTCTGAATATTTGCATATACTGAACGCCCCCAACGAACAACCTGATAAACACAGCAAGAAGAGAAAATCTATTACTCACACTGCTATTTGTAAAATAAAGAGGAGATCTTCACATGCTCAGGACCCCATACTAACCTTCACAACAGATGAAAAATTGTCATCTAGAATGATAATATCTGAGCTTTCTTTTGCAACTTCAGTTCCTTGAATACCCATTGAAAGACCTATATCTGCCTAAAGTTCAGGTTACAACATGTAGTAAGCTACCATTTAAAACAGCAGACTGGTACAGAGAAAAGTATGCAGAATTATCTAGTAAAAACTGACAAAGTTCAAACCTCATGCAAAGCAGGAGCATCATTAGTACCATCTCCCGTTACAGCAACAACATGCCCCCTCTTTCGCAAAGCTTGCACAAGTAGAAGTTTGTCATTAGGAGAAGATCTACCCATAACCTGCATATAAAAAACAAGCACAAGCATGTGGTCACGTCCTGCAATAGTGCAAAGTGAACAAAACCAAACCACCACGAAATAACTAAATAAAGACTCCATAAAAGATGTCTATAGCATACAGTTATTTTTGGTGCAATTTGCTCCCTGCCTTTTTCATCATAGCTACGAAATGCTTTTCCCTCAATTATGTATGGTGGTTCACATGGCATTCCGGTGTCGAGTATCCCACTCTCCAATGCAATTGCTTTTGCTGTTTGAATATTATCTCCAGTGACCATGCGCACCTGTTAAAACACAAGGTGCATGTTGCTTTAGTCTAAAGTGCTTAAGAAATAAGGAATGAAAACAGATAATGAATGAAACCAATAAATGTAAGGATTAATGAAATTAAAAAACAAATCAAGGTATATGGAAACAAAAATCTCTAATTACACTAATAGATTATGAAAGAATATCCATAAAATAAGGAGAAAAGAAAAAACTACAGGTAAAATAAGAAAAAAAAAATAGTTGCCCTTCTCTGCAATAAAAACAGTTTCTATTGGAATGGCCGTTAAACCATATCAATTCCTGACTACCAGACAACTGAGAGAGTGAAATCTCACCAGAAAAAAAGGTTAGCCAGCAATTACCTTTACACCAGCACGTTGGCACAGCCTCACAGCTTCAATCACACCTGGCCGACATGGATCCTACACATTGTATGCAAGATTCTTTCCATTAGAAATTGTTTCAACAAAAAGAAGTAAACCAAACAGAATCAACGTTAAGTTCAGCTAACATAAAACAAGAATTACAAGAGAGAAAAATAGTGAATGAAATAGATCTTGTTTAGATAAATGCAAACTGTTAAGTGTATGTTTGTGTATGCATGGAACATGGTTTAGAAACTCACATTTGCCTGAGTTGGCTCAGCCAACTGCCAAGTTTATGATGAAAAGATAAGGCATGGCTGAAGTCTTAAGTAATTTCTCTAAATCTCTCAAATTATTTTTTCTTTAGTTTTAAGACTCACGAATTTCTTCTTCTTCTATTTTTTTGATAAAGTTAACAGCGTCTTAAGATAAAGAGAGATTACAAAATGCAGACCACAGCGTGGCTGCACTATACAAAATTACACATGCCCACTGTAACAAAAAAATTGGGGCACTCAAAAAATGCTATATAGCATGATATGAACAGAGCTACAAAAAGGGTGGGCCAAGCATTTGGGACATTAGATCAGAGAGCTTCTTGGGCTGTTCCCAAAGGACTGCTCATACAGGCTCCTTCTCCAGGGAGGTTGTCTGCGACCGAGTTCGCCTCGTGCCAGATATCCTTCCATAAGACGTGTATATCCCTGCAAATACGGGCAATTTCATCAAAAAGATATAAAGCAATCTCCAAGGCAAGGAGTGAGATCCAAAGCCCAGGAAATGACATTCTTGGAGTCGCCATCTATGATCAAAATGGGGCTCCAAGCTGGATTGAAGCTCTTGAGACCTACTAGGAGAACATCGGCATCAACCGTTGTTGACTCGGCCTGCCCAATTGGAAGGGAGAAAGAGAGGAGAGTGCGACAAAGGTGGCCACTAAAGATGCCCCCAATTCCGGCCGGGCCGGGGTTACCCAACGAGCTCCCGTGAAAATTGAGTTTGACCAGACCAGACTCAGGTAGTCTCCACAAAGAGGAACGAGAGATGGTAACCGACTTTAGATAACGAAAAGCCTGCCAGTTTTGGAGGAAATCTGCATAGGATGAATGCTTGAAATATTTGTGATTGGTAGCCCAGAAAATGACTGATGAAAGGACCCTGTTCTTGATGTCCTCGATAGAGACTTTGAAGCCTCAGAAGGTCCTAATTGTTTCTTTCCGTCCAAATCACCCACAGATTCACGACCACAGAAGCTCTCCAAAGGAGGATTCCAGATTTACACCAAGGGGCTCGGTGTAGGGAGGTGAAGAGCTGAGCAACCGAGAGAGGTGTTACCCAGGTCAATTCGATGCATTGGAGAAGGGCTGCTCAAAGAGCTTGGGCTACAGTGCAGTGGTGGAAAAGGTGCTCGTTGGTTTCTTCCTCTGCCAGAAACATGATACAGTGGTTTGGGAGCGGTAGCCTCTTTTTTGAAGCTGGTCAATGGTTAATGCTCTATCAGACAAAGACGTGCACGTAAAGAATCAGATCTTTGAGGGTATAAGGGTGAGCTAAGTTTTGGAGTACAAAGACCGAGAGGGTTCAGATGAGATGGGTGGTTGTTGGAGGACCTGGTAGAAGGATGAAACCGAGAAGGGGCCCAAGGAGTCTGGGGACTAGATGATTGAGTCTTGACCATGAATGGGGAAGGTGATGGAGTGAAGAAGGGTGGCTAAATTCAGGAATTCTTCAACTTCACTCACCACAAGGAGACTTCTAAAATTTGGGTTCCAACTCCTGGCTGAACCTGTGTGCTCAAGTTGGTCTGCCACCGAGGCCAAAGGATTCCTGCACAGAAGAAACAATCTCAGGTAGCAGACCATTAGCAGGTGTTGTCAAGCCAAGTATTTGACCAAAATTTGATCATGTTGCCTTCCCAGGGGTGAAAGCAAATGTTGGTGATAAAAAATGCAAGACTTCAGGAGATGGATCTCCAAATACTCGAAGGTAATGTTAGGGGTAGGGAAGCTATAGGTCCAGTTAGACCCATTGCCACAGAACTTACAGCATACGACCACTTGCGAAAGTTGATTATCCAGAGTGGCCATGCACCACCACCACTTACGAAGGAGGCGATATTATTCAGCTTTATAATTCGGATGCCTAAACTGTCCTAGTGTTTGAATGGCAGACTCTGTCCCAAGAAATGAGGTGGAACATTTTGGTCCCATCCACGCCCAAACAAAGAAAGTTTCTCATGAGCTGTTCTAGCCCGACCACATTGGAGGACGAAACAAGGACATTTAGAATATCAAGAAATTAGCAAGGGTGACCTTGATGAGAGTGAGTCTACCCGCTGAGGAAAGGAACCTGCCTTTCCACCCTGCCAGCTTACTCTCCAATTTGTTGACCAAGTGGCTCCAAAGGCGTTTTTTGGGCTTGCCTATGCACAGGGGTAAGCCTAGATAAGTAGAGGGGAGACTGTCCACTTTACATGTCTGCTAGTTGGGAAATGATATGGTCATTTGTGAGAACGCCCAGCAACTGGGTTTGGTCCATGTTTATCCTAAAACCGGTGGCCAACTCGAATAGTTTAAGGAAAGGAGGATATCGATTTGCTAGATGCAGGCAAGGAAGAATAACATGGTGTCATCTGCGTATTGTAGGTGAGAGATTACAGTGCCAAGATGCCTGGTTTTGAAACCCTTCAGAAGCCCCTCACATACAACCTTGCAATGGATTTGCTGAAAATATCAGCTACAACTGTGAAGAACGGGGAAAGACAATCTCCTTGTTTGAGCCCTCCGGAGGAGCTGAAGAAACCTGCGAAGGAGCCATTGATAAGGATTGGGAAGGTTGGCTTGGATATGCAGCTGTGAATCCATTTCCTTCACCTCTCGTTAAAGTCCATTCCGAGGGTTACAACCAAGATGGCTCATTCCACATCATCATAAGCCTTCTCCCAATCGAGCTTGATGATCACACCAAGGGTTTTGGACCAGTATCTCGAGTAGATGCATTCGTGTGCAATAAAAACTCCATCGAGAATTTTGCAATATTTTACAAAAGCCACCTGGCTATGGGATATGATACAGTGTAAGACTTCCCTAAGCCAAAGAGAAAGGACCTTGGAAAGTATCTTGAACAAGCTGTTGATGAGGCATATAGGGCAAAAATATTTTAACTCCTAGGCCCCTTCCACCTTAGGGATCAAAGTGATGACTGTTGCATTCATGACCTTATGGATGACGGTCTGGTCATGGAACTCAGAGAAAAAGGCAAGGATATCAGGTCTGAGGGTGTCCCAAAAAGTACTAAAGAGACAACCGAGAAGCCATCAGGTCCCAGGGATCGGTTTAGGCAAGAGACTTAATGGCTGAGAGAGTCTCATCCTCGGAGAAAGGACATTCTATGCTGGCAGCAATGTCCAGGGGAATAGATTGGAAGGATAAACCAGCAATTATAGACATAGGACTAGAGGGGGCCCAGAGAGCTCCCTGAAAAAGTCAAGGATAGCTTGTTCAATGAGGGGAGGCTATCCAAGATTCGGTTCCCTACTTTGATCTATGAGATAATGTTATCCCATCCACGGCAGTTGGCTATCTTGAGGAAAAAGGCAGTGTTTTGGTCACTACATTTGAGCCACTTGACTCCGGACCGTTGGTGCCAGAAGATTTCCCCTTTGTGGAGTAAAGCCTGAGAATCGATTCTAGTTTGAGTTCTCAAGAGGCTCTCATCGGGGGAAAGCATTATGCTCTCCTCAAGCTGGTCCCACTGTTGGAGTGAATGGAGAAGGACAGCCTTTTGGCCTAGAAAGTTACCTGGAAGCTGGCAGCTAGAGCTCTTGAGGGAGTTCCTGAGCATCTGCAATTTACGCTGCAAGCAGAAGCCAGCCCAACCTTGGACCGTGGGGGCAAAAGAGGCCCACCAAGAAGGAATGAGGGATAAGAAATTAGGTTCCTTGAGCCATGCTAATTCGAAATGGAAGGGGGAGGGCCCTCTGGTTAGATGCTGGGTATCTAAGACAATAGGCTTATGGTCAGAGGCGTTTTTTGGAAGGGCCAGGGCATGAGAACCAAGGAAAACCTCATCCCAGCCTGGTCTAATAAGGAATCTGTCTAGTTTGGATAAGGATGGGGAGGATGCATGATGGAACCACGTGAAAATGGCCCCTTGAAGGGGAATATCGAGTAGATCATTCAGTGAAATGAAGTCGGAGAAGTCCAACATTCCTGGGGAGATACGACCGTTTGAGTCTCTTGTGTGACCACCTAGTGATGTTAAAGTCCCTACCAAGGCACCCAGGGGGGGGGGGGAGGGATCTCATCCAGTTCGTTCCACAGTTGGGTCCCAAAGGGTCGAGGAATTGGGACCATAGACAGCTGAAAACTTCCATTGAGGCCGTTGGATACTCTAGTGACGGCGACAGTGACAGAGAAGTCTGCTACCCTAGATGACGAGAGGGAGTGGAGAGTCACGTCCTAAATGACCCAGATTCCTACTGAGGCCCCAACGGCTTCGAGTAATTCCCATTGACGGCCCCAGACTTGAAAGATTTGGGGGAGGGAAGGGGAGAGCAGTTTGGATTCCAGGATTGCTAGCATGGAAGGCGAATATTGGAGGCTTAACTCTCTAACCGCCCTGTGTTTCTGGGACTGGCCGAGGCCCCTGATGTTCCAAACACGGACTTTCATCCGGTGTGGATTTTGAAGATGAAGGTGCATCTAGGAGAGCGCCTCAGGGACTAGCTGAAAGGCAAGGCCGGCTCGACGGAAGAGGAGGAGGACAGGTGGGAGGGGGGGAAGGTCTGTCTCTATCATAAGAGATGCTAGTGTGCAAATTGGATAGCTCCCGAGATGCGTTGCCACCTACTCTGAAGACTTACTGATTTCTTTAACTTGCTAAAATACATACAAACACAAGAAAAGATGCACATTCAAATATTTATATCCTACAAAATTACAGACATATGCTTAAATATCTGTACATACTCATGAACATGTACAAATACAACACATACAAATACAAATTACTGTAAACACACATGCACGCACAAATTGTGACTAAAGAAAAAGCCAGCACACCCATGCAAATTCACATTCATGCATAAATGTGAGCATCCATATACCTTCATGTATATGCAAGGAATCTTATGTTGATTTAAACACAAATAGGAAGACAAGGTCCTACCTTGATCCCTACAATTGCTAATAAAACAAGGTCATCCTCGGGCATCGCCCACTGCTCCAACTCTTCTTCACCCTGTGGAACCCCTTCGACATTACATACCCTATATGCAAACGCAACACAACGCAAACTAGCTGCCGCCATCTCGTCAATAGCTTTCTGAAACTCCGCTATCTGCAAATAAAAGGACATGATTAGACATCAGATCTTCATTTTCATCACCACAGAACACAATTTTAATACCAGAATTTTTCAACCTTATCACCATCCATTCGATGTTCTACTCCATCTTTGTCAAGCCATTGAGTGCAGGAAGCCAAGATTATTTCTGCAGCTCCTTTCCAATGTATATGGACTTCAGATTCTGACTGGAAATGAGAAAGGAAGAAAAACAAATTAGCATGTAAAATCAATAAAATAAGTATCAAGCATATCATGTTACACCAACCATTGATGTAAAAGAATAGATATAACAACCAATACCAAAGAAAGCAAGGACAGCACTCTAAAAAGAAGATGTGATATGCAAGACTAAGCCATGCACTTGCAATCACTTCAGAAACACAGGCTTTTAACCCTAAAAGGTTTTGTCTGTTGTTCTTGTTTCTAATTAATATTTCTCCTCGTTTATCATTTGCCTTGTTTATTGTTTTGATTAATTATTTTTTATCAGAATGAGTTCCCACAGGGTTCCAGCACTCCTGTCCCAAGCCCAAACCTTTGAACTTTGACTTTTGACCTAAGGCTGTCATTAGCATGGCCAGCAGGAATATCTATTTACAGTATCAACCTGAATTAATACAGCAAGATGAAAGCCACTTGCCAACTGTTTCTTTGAACAAAATATAACCCAGAAGTATCCTCTTAGATTTATTTCCACATTTTCGGATGAAGAGGTTCAATACTTCCCCTTAATGGGGTGTTGGGGAAGGTTCTTTTTAACCTGTGTTTCTGCTCTAGCTAGATTCAAGAGATTGGAGATAGCGAAAAGGCTTAAACATAGAACATGTAGCTTGGATCTAGGATTTTATATGTTGAAACGTTTTTTCCAGTGCTCACATAACAACAAGCCAAGTCAATAGATGATGTGCATGGTGTGAAGATTTTTGGCAAACCCTCTTTCCCTTGCATTTCGAAAGGTCTTAGAAGAGCAAGTTTTTGTGCACCAATGACTATATAGTGCGTTAACGACTATCTAGACATAATATCTTGAGCATGTTCCCTACTAACTGGGAATCTGTACAAGCCACTACAGTTGCAAAATGAATACATTATGGGCTTGTTTGGATGTACTGATTATCACTGGTGATTCATTGTTTAAATAAAAACTAATCCTGATAATGATTTAACCATTGTTCGGTAGAGTCCCTAATAAATTATCCTGAGATAAAACTTATAGACAGTTTTATATATAAGTTTCTCTTTTTGTAAAGCTAGTTTTACTTCACTCAAAAGAAATTTGTTCAAAATCAACGTTTTTAGCTAGAAATAATTAGAAATAGCTGAAAAACATTAAAGAGTAAAATAATTAAATAATATTGTACAGAATACAAAGTACATACTAAACAGCCATTAGAATAATATCATGCAGAATATTTTAATTTTAGATATCATAGAACATATTAATTTTAGATAACATAGCTTACATAAGATTAATCATCATCCAAAGAGGCCCAACAAAGGCCCTATTAATTTATTATATAATTGAAAGTAGACATAAGCAGTGTTATCAAATGCAGAAGCATAACACATTGTGCAGGCACCCTGAGGCACATGGCCACCCTTGCGCATGTGGGATTTAGCAATGTGTCCCCATTTGCGGCCCATCTCTAGCATATGTGGGCACATCGTATTAAGCACAATGTGCCCGCATATGCAGCTAACTGACCAACTACACATCGCATAAATGCCACAAGCAGGAGCATTAAGATTTAGGTCATCTGTTAGTATAACGTGGGTTTGCAGATATATTATTTAATATTATCTACAGAAAATAAT